ACTCTTTGGTGAGTAGCAACTGGGTCTTAAAAGCGTGCAAACTTCTATCTAAGGTGAAGCTATTGGTGTCTCGCTTTCAGAAACAAAAGAGACTAAGAAAAAGTGAAGAAATAATCTCAGAGGATGTATGTACCACATGAACCTCAACTACCGTGACCCTGAGACTAGAAGAATGAGGTTTTGCCCAGCTACCACTGCTGACCACTCTATAAGAGATCATTTTTTAAAAGTCCTGGTTGGAGTAAAGGAAAATGTGAAAACAAAACTAAGAAACATAAAGGTCTAGGCTTACTGGTGCAAGAGAGAAGAGACTCATAAGGCCCCTAAGACTTCGTCTCTTGGTCACCCTTGAAAACTAGAATAAAACTCACCCCAGTGGCCCAATTTGCAGGCTTTTAAGGTGACCAGTGGCACTCAGCCCTTAGAAAACCCAACCATACAGGAGCCAAAGAGCAGCAGAGGCAGGAAGGGTAGGTTAGAAGGATTAAAGGAGATGAAAATTACAGGGATAAAGTGGGGAAAGTGCAATTACATTGTGGGTATTGTAACTAATGTGCAATAAAAATGTGTATGAATGGTTGATTAAAAAGCCAGTATGCTTGTGTTTACTCAAATCACAGTTTACAAAAGCAGAACAACAAAGTAGCAAGTTGGAGTCTCACAGAAGTGTAGATACTTCCTCCAACAATTAGGCCTGCTCTGGAGAGGGTGAAACCAAGTTACTCCTTGAAGGCAAGGAATGTGAAACTCCGGCTGAGGTACTTTGGGCATATTGCCAGGAGGGACCAATCCACGGAGAAGACATCAAGCTTTGAAAGGTCAGCACAGGAGAAGACGACCCTGTAAGAGATGGATTGACACACTGACAGAGATAATGGGTCAGGGAAGGGAAGAGGTCAGAGCCATTGTTCACAGGGTCCTTGACTCCATGGCACTTAACAATAACAAGCTTCCTTAGGACAGTTCTTATGGCCCAGTGGGTAGGGAGTTGTTTTGCTAACCGAAAGGCAGCACCTGTCTGGTGGTTCTAGTCCAACAGCAGCTGCCAGGAAAAAAGATGAACAGTCTCCCCTGTGTGATTTACAGTCTCTAAAAACCCCACTATGAGTCAGTTCTTACTCTACAGCAGACTGTTGACACTTTCTTCAAGCCCTTCTGATTGAAGTGTCACATCAACAGAGTTGTTAGTATTAATGTGTGACTGATTGCTCATCACTTTTACTCTCAATTTGAATATTTGCATGGGAGCTTTGATAAAATTCAAATTCTGGGTCAGTTTAGAAACCGTAATGTTAGCACTGAAAAGTGATACCCAGCATTTGTTGAGCTTCCAGCTGTAAGGGGAAAACAAGTATAGACAGGGCCCCCAAAGACATGTAGAGGCATCAGAATTCATATCAAGATCAGTCTGACCCAGAGTTCTTGCTCTCCTGTAGTTTAGGAAATTTCTTAGTACATGTTGAATGAAATCACTATTCCTGGAAAAGTCAAAATCCCCTTCCATTATGTATCCTTCAAAGTACAGAATACCTGTGCTAATGATGAGTCCTTTATAGTGCCTCATATTCTAAAGGTACTGAAAAAAAAATCAGTTGCAATAAAGGCTCTTGTTTTAGCATTTTATTATATTAAATACTGACTATGATGTCTATCTTTTTTTATAGTGTATATATTTCCAGTCAATTAAATTTGCGCTATGGCTGTAGATGTTCCTATTGGTCTTCTATGTATTATTTTTTATTGCTGGCCATAAACTGCTTTCAGGTAAGAAGGATTCTTGAAATGCTGTGTCTATCATTATTTCAAGCATGGGCTATTTAATACCTATCTTTTAGATGTAAATGCTGGCTTCCTGGTGGATTCTTAGGTTTGGAAGGAAATGTAAAGTTTATCTAGTCAGACTTACATTCTGATGCCTACTTAGACATCACTGCCATTACCAGGATATTCTGGTGGTTTAGTGGTAAGGAGTTGTGCTGCCAACCCAAAAGCATGCAGTTAAAATCTGCCAGCTGCTTTGCTGGAGAAAGATGGGCAGTCTCCTCCCATGCGATGTACTGCCTCTGAAAACCCGCTGGAGGCTCAACTATGTGTCAGTTCCAACTTGACAGTTCACAGTCACCACCACCATAACCAGGGTCCTTGACTCCATGGCACTATGGCCACCATTACTTTGATCAGTTATACAGCAAGCACACATACTGAATGCATTTGAGGTTTTAGTATTACCATAACAGTTCAGGAAATGAGATTAATGAGGATAAGTAAAATGTCAATGATGGCATAGTTGGGATAGAAGTAAGTGTGTCTACTTGAAAGCCTATGCTCATTTTACTGTACTACACTATCCTCGGGAACTTGGGTGGTGCCTACTGTTGAGAAATTATGCTGCCAGTGCAAAGGTACATATGGTTCAAATCCATCAACTGCTCTGCTGGAGAAAGATGAATGGTCTCTCGTGCACTTTACTGCCTCAGAAAACCCACTGGAGGGTGAGCTATGGGTTGGTTCCAACTCAAGATAAACACCACCACACTGTCTTTAGGCAGGTCTGGTAGCTGTAATCCCAAAGGCATGCAGTTTGAATTCACCAACTGCTCTGGAGGAGGATAGGCTTTTTACTGCCTTTGTAAAGTTTCTGGAGGGTCAGCCATGGGTCAATTCCTTTAGAATTCCCATCATATTGAAAATGGGCCTGAAAGTTCAACATTTTTCAATTTTTTCAGTCCTCTAAGTAAGATTTTCTTTTATATGATTGTTACAATTTCTTACCCTGTTTATTTGCTTAATTCTTCTTCTCAAAAGTTTATTTTTTCTGCATTCTTCATACATAGAATTTTATGAAAATAATTTTAAAGATCACATGACACTGAACGTCATGTAGACTTCTCTTAGTTTAATAATTCCTTCATCAGACATTTCAAATAATACCTCATTGATTAATATGCATTCATTATGTTCTGTATTTAGAATATGATTCTGAACATCAATCTTTACAGTTTGAATACAGATGTCTGAGTAGAGCTATTATACCTACTTGAAATACTTGGTCTGGCTTCCAAAAAGACATATTGGTCATCATTTGAGGATGGTTGCAATTCTTACTATAAGTCACCATCCCTTCATCAAGGAGCAGACCCACTTCCCAGGCTATGCAACTCCATGTTTTTAGACAGAGAAATAGAGGAGGCAGTTTGGATCTATCTGTAGGTGATAGGGAAAGGGGTATATAGTCCAAATTTGACTTAGAAGAATGAACATGAACAGAATGGTAGTCAAAATAAGTGAACTTAATTACTGCAGGGATTAAATAGTTTGGGGACTGGAGAATGAACAGTTTATTTCTCTGAACAGTTTGTAAATGTTCTTTTTATGTACAGACAAATTGCATAGGAACCTGGGTTTTTTGTGTGGGGTTTTTTGTTTGTTTTCCCCCTATTCATTCATTGTTTGGAACCTATTTTTAAGTGAAAGATTCTGCAGCTTTACATATGTTGTCGTTATGTGCTGTCAGAGTTGCCTGTGACTCATAATGATCCTATCTGCAATAGCTTTGAAGCCTGCCCTGTCCTGAGCCAGTCTCACTGACTCTGACACACCTAACCCCATTACCCCAGTTTCTTTGTCAATCCTTCTCATCTTGGGGTCTTCTCTCCTGTGCTGTCCCTCCACCCTCTGAGATTGTGTTTTACTGTTATAATATAGTAAATAGGACTTCTGGTACTGTATTTATTCAAAGTCAACTCTCTATTATAAATATAACTAAAAAACATTCCCAGTATACTATATATTGTTCAATGAAGAAAATTTGTGGGCATTTATATGTAGTATGTACCATTCAGGTGAATAAAAATATAACCAAAAGGAAAAAAATATGTCTGGCAGACAGCATATATTCAGTATTTTTTGAAAATGTATATTTATTTGTACAAAAACACATCTGAAGATACATAATCTAGAGTGTTTAGAGGGGTTCTGCGAAACAGTATGCAGCCCAAGGGGTGTGTTTATTCTGTGTATTGCTGTTTGAATTTTTTACAGTGAGCACGTGATATTTTTATATACTCTTTAAATGAAAAAAATCTTTTATCTTTTTTATCTTTTAAATAATAGTAGCACTGTTTTCCCCAAATAAATCCTTATATCAGCTGCTTCTTTCTGATCCTAAAGTTCATGCTAACCAATAAAAGAATTCTGATCTCTAGAAGACTGCTTTTTAAATAGTTCATTAATGCTTCAGTGGTTCTTTAAAGAGAAAAACATTGGTCAAACTTACTTTTTAAATGGCATTTTCCCATAATAAAGGTTTCGAAATATTTTTTTCCTGAGAAAAATAAACAAAAGTAGATTTATACCTATTTCTCAGGCTTCATTATGAACACATAGTCTTTTCTCATTGTATAACCATTGTCCCCCAAACACTTTTTAAAAAAATTTTATTTTATTGAAAGTTTACAGAGACTTTGGATTTCCATTCATTCATTGAAACACTTCTTAATAAGAGGGCTGAATAATCTAGTCAATGGATTATTTTAAAGCAAATCAAAATTACATTATTCTATCTGTAAATATTATTTAAAGATACTGTAAAACTTAAAGTTAGCAACTTTTAATTGACAATTACATTAAAATAAGTTGCTTTTTAATTTACAATGTTTTAATCTTTTTAAGTAAATACTTTTGAACTAATCCCCTTTTCTTTCCGATTTAATACACATTTTCCCACCCCTAGAGGTAGGGTAAAACCAAAATGTGCTTTTTGTGCTTTTGCCTGTATATCTTTGTTTTAGAAGCGTGAACAAATGGCTAGGATTTTTTGTGTTTGAAATCGTCAAATTTAAATAATGATTGAAATATTATTTATTGAGTTTTATTATATTGGTCTGGAAAGCAATTCATACCTTGATTGTAGTAGCAAAAGTCATGTGAATCATGGTAAAAGTGTTTTTCCAAGTGCTTTTCTGTTACCCTGTCTGACTTTAATATTTTTGTTTTAATAGGTCTCTAATTAATTGAAGATGGCAAAGCCAAGCCACAGCAGCTACGTTCTTCAGCAGCTAAACAACCAAAGGGAGTGGGGTTTTCTCTGTGACTGTTGTATTGCAATTGATGACATTTACTTTCAAGCACACAAAGCAGTGCTAGCTGCCTGTAGCTCCTACTTTAGAATGTTTTTCATGAACCATCAGCATAGTACTGCACAACTGAATCTCAGCAACATGAAAATAAGTGCCGAGTGTTTTGATCTCATTTTGCAGTTTATGTACTTGGGAAAAATAATGACAGCTCCTTCCAGTTTTGAGCAATTTAAAGTGGCAATGAACTACCTACAGCTGTACAATGTTCCGGACTGCTTAGAAGACATACAAGATGCTGATTGTTCCAGTTCAAAATGTTCATCTTCTGCCTCCAGCAAACAGAACAGCAAAATGATATTTGGAGTAAGAATGTATGAAGACACTTCGACAAGAAATAGCAATGAAGCCAGCAGGTGGTGTGCAGAGCCAAGTTCAACAGTAAATACACCACATAATAGAGAGCCTGAAGAGGAGTCTTTACAACTGGGAAGTTTTCCTGAGCCACTATTTGATGTATGTAAAAAGAGTTCTGTGTCCAAATTATCTGCTCCAAAAGAACGTGTGTCACGGCGCTTTGGACGGAGCTTTACCTGTGATAGCTGTGGATTTGGCTTTAGCTGTGAAAAATTACTAGATGAACATGTGCTAACCTGTACTAACCGACATTCATACCAAAACTCGCGATCTTATCATCGAATAGTAGATGTTAGAGATGGAAAAGACAGTAACATCAAAGCTGAATTTGGTGAGAAAGATTCTTCTAAGACATTTTCTGCACAGACAGATAAATACAGAGGAGACACAAGCCAGGCTTCTGCTGATGACTCAGCTTCAACCAATGGAAGCAGAAAAAGTAGCACGGTAGAATCAGAAATAATTAGTGAGGAAAAAAGTAGAGCTGCTGAGAGGAAAAGAATCATCATCAAGATGGAGCCAGAAGATATTCCTACAGATGAACTAAAAGACTTCAACATTATTAAGGTTACAGATAAAGACTGCAATGAATCCACTGACAATGATGAATTAGAAGATGAACCTGAAGAGCCATTTTTTCGATACTATGTTGATGATGATGTCAGTATTAAAAAAAATGGCAGGAAGATGCTAAAACCTCGAATGTCAATAAATGCTGATGAGAGAGGTGCTGTAGAAAATGCAAGGCCCCCTAACAATAGCAGTCCAGGACGGGAGGACACAGAAAATGCCTCCTGTGAGCTGTGTGGACTCACAATAACTGAGGAAGACCTGTCATCTCATTACTTAGCCAAACACATTGAAAATATCTGTGCATGTGGTAAATGTGGACAGATACTTGTGAAGGGTAGACAGCTTCAGGAACATGCTCAAAGATGTGGAGAACCCCAAGATCTGACAATGAATGGCTTAGGAAATGCTGAGGAGAAAATGGACATGGAAGAGAATCCTGATGAGCAGTCAGAAATAAGAGATATGTTTGTGGAAATGTTGGATGAATTTAGGGACAATCATTTCCAGATAAACAGTATCCAAAAAAAGCAGTTGTTTAAACATTCTGCTTGTCCTTTTCGATGTCCTAATTGTGGCCAGCGCTTTGAAACGGAAAATCTAGTGGTAGAACATATGTCTTCTTGTCTAGACCAAGATATGTTTAAGAATGCCATCATGGAAGAAAATGAGAGAGATCACAGACGAAAACATTTTTGTAATCTCTGTGGAAAAGGATTTTATCAGCGGTGCCACTTAAGAGAACACTATACTGTTCATACTAAGGAAAAACAGTTTGTTTGTCAGACATGTGGAAAGCAGTTTTTAAGAGAACGTCAGTTGCGACTGCACAATGATATGCACAAAGGCATGGCCAGGTATGTCTGTTCCATTTGTGATCAAGGAAACTTCAGAAAACATGACCATGTACGGCATATGATTTCTCATTTATCTGCTGGTGAGACAATATGCCAGGTCTGCTTTCAGATATTCCCAAATAATGAACAGTTGGAGCAGCACATGGATGTTCATCTGTATACATGTGGAATATGTGGAGCAAAATTTAATTTGAGGAAAGATATGAGATCACATTATAATGCCAAGCATTTGAAAAGACCATGAGTGATTTTCTTACTGTACTAATGTTTAGTTGATAGCAGATAAAACACCAAAGCAAAGGATATGAGCTATTTAGAAATTGATTTTATAATATAAATCGTTGGGAAAAATCAAGGCCCTTTTCCTTTAATATTTTTATTTAGGATCTTAAGTATCTATATCTTAGAAGTTAAATTTTTAATATTTTTGTTTATAGAATTCTTTTTTAGTTTGTCATAGGTATGATTAAAATTACTTTTAAATATAGACTACAAGTGGTTTACCCCTTCAGTGACTATTAAACTAGTTTGGTTTTTTTTTTGTTTGTTTTTTTTACAGTAAGTGGATGGTGTCACTATTACTTTTTTTTTAAGGTTATCTTATGAAATTTTAAACCCAGCATTAATGGGCATTCCAGTTTAAATCAAAAGAAAAATTTTAAGTTATTTGAAATTATCCCATTCACTTTTAATTTTTGCTTGTTTTTGTCATTTCAGCAGTGATCTGGCCACTGTTTATTCCCATTATTATCAATGAAATCCAGATACTTAACTTCATATGCCTTCTAGGCAAGTTAGGTGCACTGAATCTAACTTTGAAGATTGACATGGGCCCAAACTTGGCCTAAAAAGATTGATGAACATGAGGAAATTTCTATAAATAATTATTTCCTATAATTGATAAAATATTATCATTTAATCACATTTAAAACTTATATTAAGTGTAAAACCTAATGGCTTTACCCTACTTAAGAAATAAGTGGGAATAAGCCATTTTGTTTTGTGATATTAAATTTAACTATGATAGTTAATGAGAAAGATATATCTTGTATTCATTTAAATATTTTAATTTAAAATATTTTGATTCCTAAAGTGTGTTAGTTTATCAATTATTCTTGTTTATAAATAGACTTTTTAATATCTCTAGGAATATAACATCTAAAGGAAAATGATTTTTTCATCTTTAAAATTATATACTTTTTGGAACTTACTTTGAGACTTGAGAAAGTTGCCATGTATACTGATAAATCTAATAAAATAAAGAAATCAATCATAAACTTGGTGGTTCTATAAAAGTAGAGTGCGCAAAAATATTTCTTGTGTTTTATATGCTCTAAGATTTGGAAAAAACAATGTGGCAGATTATAATTTTTCATGCTTTCCTCCCTCTCCCTGTAAAGGCCTACAAAACTTGAGGAATATAAAATAAAGTATATAAATGTGAAGAGCTTATTTTTGAAAATAGTGTTACTGTTAGTTCTTCCTAGCACAAGATCTATATGAATTACATGTGAAATAAAACACTGCCAAAACTGACCCACCAGTAAACACATCTGTAGAACAGAATGCCTTTTGATGTGAATATACTTACTTTCAATATAATACTTATGATAACAGGGATTTTAAATAACCTCTATATTTAAAAATATGATTTGTTATTGTGAACAGTAATTTAGTAGCTTTGCTTTTGGTTTACATTCTGTTTTTAATATGGGCAAATACATTTTTATATACAATTGGCATAAAAGAGCAGTCTGCCTAGAGAACTGAAAGACATTAACTAGCACAGATTTAGTTGAAAGACACATATTTGCATAGAGTATTATGAGTTCAGATTTGTGATAGTATGTGGAGATAAATAAAGATAAGAATACCAAAACAGGTAGTGCAGAAATTGAATGGAAAACTGACAAGATAACAAACACATGCAAAAAAAAAGTCATGGTTTTTTGTGTATTTTTTTTTAAGCCACATATTTAATAGAGACAGTAGGGGAAAGTGATTACTCTTTCTCTTGGATAGAAGGTTTATCAGCTTAGTCTGAAATACAACTTAAAATGGTCTCTCTCTGTGTGTATAAATATAACTGATGAAGCATCTTTAGTGGTGCAATTGGTTAAACATTCTACTAGCCAAAAGAGTGGTAGTTTGAACCTACTCAGAAGTGCCTTAGAATACAGGCCTGGTGATGTGCTTTCCCAAAGTCCCATCTTTGGAAATGCTGTGGAGCAGTTGTACTCTGCATACGTGGGCTCACTGTGAGTTGGAATTGAGAGTAACTAGCAACATTACTGCTAGGAACCTAGTAAGCCAAAGTTCTGTTATAACCCAGAGACCATATCAGAGTAGTAGAAAGAGATAAGACCAATTAAAATGAAAATAAAATCTTCAAACTGCTTACAGTAAAACCTGCAAAAGATGGAAACTGTCAAAGGAGAAAAATTCTGTTGCTTTCCACTAATAGAATGCCATAGAAAAGTTATAAAATTGTGCATTGTCAAAGACAAGAAAATTTTGTTCAAAACAAAAGCAAGGCAGTCCAAGTTCTGGTTCTCCCATGGTTTAGTGAATTTAGTATCTCAGTGGACATAATTTCCTTTGAGATAATTTTATTCATTGATTAATTAAAATCTGGGTTACAATGATCTTCCCATCTTTAAAGAATGGGGAGTCTTTATTTAGTATTTACTAATATTCTTTTCTGCTGTCCTGGTATTAAAAAGTTGTGCTGCAATCCTAGAGGCACTCGGTTTGAATCTACCAGCTGCTCTGCGGGTGTATATATATATGTGTGTGTGTGTGTGTAAGTAAGATGGGGAATCTGCTTCCATGTGATAAACAGCCTCTTAAAACCTGCCAGAGGGTGGGCTATGGATTTGTTCCGACTCCATGGTCCTTTGTAGAATGGACAACCTATTCCATTGTTGCCATCAAGTCAATTCAAGGTCCTAGTAACCCTACAGGACAGTAAAACTGCTCCATAGTTTCCAAGGGTGTATATCTTTTTGGAAGTAGAGTGCCATACCTTTCTCCCACAGATCCCTGAGATTAGCAGCTAATAGCTTACAATTAGCAAATACGTAAACTTTAAACATAACTCTATTTTTACACAACTGAAGTGTTTATAATTTTACAAAGTCACAGTCTGTGATGTTTTCTCCATTTCTACATAGAACAGCAAACTCCTTGTTGAGCTGGAACTGACTCATAGCTTATCCTCCAGTGGTTTCTGAGACTGAATTGCATGGGAGGAGATGGCCCATCTTACTCCGTAGGAACTGCTGGTCGATTTGAACTGAGAAGTGCTTTTGGGTTAGCAACACAACTCCCTACAGACTAGACCATCAGAGCTTCTTGTTACATACAGCAACATCTTTTTGCTTTGTTTTGTTTCGGGATAGTACAGGGTCAGCCCAGGCTTCAGAATGTACAACCTACCTAATCAAGGTGATGTATTCATTTGAAGGCAACTTTTAAAATCAAAATCAGGGAAAATACAAAATACCCAACAACTCTATTTAACCCTATTTCCACTCTCTTCCCTCTCTAGGGTAGAGCTGCAATTCTTACAATCTGTGACAGCTATGAAGTTGTAGGGGTACCTGCTCCTCTTGCCTTTATCATTTGTGTGCTTAGGTTCCAAATCTAAAACTTGAAAAGCTAGAGGTATTACATGGAAACTTGTCCCTCTTTCTGCTTTACAAACCCCAACAGTCTTGCTAAAAGGTCCTTTGTTTCTGAACATCAAGAACTCCAGGAGGGATATCGTCAGTGCCTAACAAGCTTGCCACCAATTACTGAGCAACTCACAAATTCTGTGATTCTTTAGATAACAGGGTTAAAAAAACCTAAAAATTTAGTATCACCAAGATGGATTAGGACTCAGATTTGCCTTAATTTTTACCTTTTATTTCTTTTGTGCAAAAATGTGTGCTTTTAGAGAAAATATTTAGGGAAATGACTCAAGAGTAAGATATGTCTAATGCATAATGTGTGAAGTAATTAACAGTGTGAGTACAGATATAAATTGGGAAAAAAAGAGAAATTCCACCAGAGCTGGGTATAAAAATAAAATTGGTGTAAGGTCAGATTCCTAAGGCAGTCAGCACCAATAAAAGGAAAATGAAGAAAAATACCTAAGTATTATTAAAATATGAACATGAGCAAGATACAAAAATTTAATTTTAAAAAACCATTTGATGCCATTGAGTCAAGCACAACTCAAAGCAGCTGACTCTATGAACAAAAAAAAACACCAACAAACCATTTGAAGATTCTAGGTAAAATGAGTAAGAGGAAATAATTTTATTAAAATTTAGAATGTAAAAAGAAATTATTATAGAATGTCTAGTGAAACTATTGCTAAATATACACCAAGCATATGCTAAAATATGGCGATATATAAATTCTTAAATTTGAAAAAAAAAATGGGAAGAGATGCTAGTCATTAGCAACTGTCTCCCTGTATAAACAGTATCCTACTGTATCACCAGTTAAGGAACTTCCATGTTAAATAGATCTCTGGGAGGGAAAAATACTAGTAATTATACTATTGAAATTAACTTAAAATTTGCCATTGTTAATACAAATAAACAGTAATCTATTTGGTAAAAAAGCTGAATATCAACAGAAAAACCATGACGGTGAATGCACACACAGGTGAGAATAAATAAATGTGTATTTTTTCACTAAAACTGGGTTTTATCATGGTTTACTTTTTTTTTTTCATTATTTGCTGTTAATCTACTTTCATGATCATCACTTCCACTTCACCCATCACTTTGTAACTAATACTACTTGGTGATAAATGTCAGTGATCTGCAGCATTCTAACATCAACAGCTCTTAGGATTCCAAAGCTTTAGGGGAACATATCCTTGTGGAATTCCTTCTATATTATTGGTATCTTGAACTTGATATTTAATGTGATACAGTTAATACTAGGGAACTAAATCAAGTAGAGTTCTGTTTGGTGCTGCAAACAGAATCTGCAGTCCAGATGTGGAAACCCGCAATCTTGCACACTAGGATAGTCTAATCCCAGCATTCCGTTCACTCCCAAACCCAAAGGCATTTGGGTCAGTTCGATTCCACAAGCTGCTTCTCAGGAGGAAGATTGGCATTTGCCTCCTGTGCAATTTACAGTCTCTGGAAACCTGCCAAAGGGTCAGCTATGAGTCGCTTCTGACTCAGTCTGAGTCTAATGGCGGCATAGTGCCTAACGTGTTGGCTGTTAATCTAGGTTAGTGGTTCAAATCCACCAGCTGCTCCATGAAAGGCAGTCTCCTCGCAGAAAGATTCACAGCCTTGCAAGCCCAACAGAAGTTTGTTACAAAATAGGCTT